TTTTTAAGATCCTGAGCAGAAAACAGCACATATTATTTGTGCTCATCTGATACTGGCCTCACAGTTATGCTGCACTGCAGGGAAACTGGGAGGCCATGGACTCTACTAAAACTCAACCACTTTGGAGTTAGAAGATGGTAGATCTTGTAGGATGATAAGCAGTTTTCTACAAACTTCTAAAGTGTTATATTTTCCTTCCATATGGTTGTGATCACATTCTTTCTCTTTACCATAAACATCCGTGCACATATTCCATATCCTCTGTTGACTGCTAATTCCCTAATGAAAGAATCCATTCCACCTTTGAATACTCCCTTGCCTAGACTGGAACTGGCATTGTGTAGAGTAGAGATCTCCAACCTTTCTAGCACCAGCGTCCAGCCTCGTGAAAGACAATCCCTCCACAGATGGGAGGAGGGGTGGAGGGTGGAGTGGGAGTTGGTCCTGGGATGACCCAAGTGCACTACATCCACCATGCACCCCATTTCCACCAGTACCACACTTCGATATGCAATGAAACAATCACAAAACAGTAGGGTTTGCACTCCTTTGAGCATCCAATACCACCACTGATTTAACGGAACAGAGCCAAGGTAGCAATGCAAGCAATGGGCACTGACTGCAAATACAGATGAAGCCTCACTCACCTGCTGCCCATCCTCCATTGTGTGGCCCAGCAGCCCAGCATGGCCCATGGCCTGGCCCTCAACAGGCCACAGACCAGAACTGGTCCACATCTCAAGGGTTGGGGATCCCTGGTATACACTGAAAAGTCACTCACATAGCTTGCTTTTTTGTTGTTGGTTCATTATATTTCATGAAAAAGAGCACTTACTATGTGTATCCAAATAGACATGTACACACACATACATGTAAATAGATTAACAATACAAAGAATTTTTCTGACACCCTCCAATTTTGTTATTTCTAAACTCTACAAACCTAAATAGTCTGTTTCTGTCTTCTCTAACTAAAAGAAAAGAACAAAATTAAACATTTCTTTGTAGTTGAGAATAGTTGTAGAAGTTGAACTTTGGAGAAAGTGGAGAATTTTGGTCCACAGCCTTCTCTCAACCAACTCCATCTTCTTTTCTAACCCTCATACTTGGCTAATACCCCATTTTATAGCTTCTAGTACCTTATTCATCTTTTCTGAATACTTACCAACCTCCAACATCTGGCTCCCTGTGTCCTCCTTAGACCATCAGCTCCTGGAGTGTAAGCACTAAAGTTGTCTCATTCCTCCCAGGAACCTCCATGCCTATTCCTATGCTGGAAAGACATCAGTCCCTTGACAAATAGCTGTTAAGTGAATAAATATCTTGATGCTTTTAAAGATAAATTCTTTGAGCCAACTGGGTGGTGCTGGAAATGTGAGAACCAAATGGGTCCTCCTTGCTTCTTCTCTTTCAACTCTAGCTGAAAAGCAGGAGGTTGAGGGCAGGCATTATAGATGGAGATGCTGGGTGAGGAATTTCAGCCAGGGAGCCAGGCCAGGACTCTTGCTGTGAAACAGGAACATTTTCAAGGGAAGTGACCCTCTGCTGGAGCTCCTCAGTTCCAAGGTGGTCATTAACATTGAATTGTTATGCAGTGTGAATCATTTTCTTGCGGAAAAAATTTAGCACCGGCAGTGCTACCTTTGCCATTAAATTTCCACTGGAATCCTGACGCATCTCAGTCAGACTCAGCCCAAATTGTGCCATTTCTGTAGCAGTAAAATATAACCTGTAGCCACACCAGCAAAAACCACCCATTAGCAGAGAGAGGAACTTTGTACTTCTAAAAAGGACCAGTGGGAAAAGAAGGAATCTAGAAATCCCCCCAAAAAACGTTAAGTTGGGGTAATAATTTGACCCACATCAATGGGGAATAAACCTCTCTATCAGGATAGGTTCAGCTTAAGATCATTTGGTCAACCTTCTTTAAATAATTTATTCAACCTTCTTTAAATAATTTATTCACTTTAAATTATTTATTTACTTACCATTCTAATGTCGACTATATATTACCTCGTTAATCAAGACAAAATAACTGTTTTTATCTACAAAACCTTATCCTCTACTGGGAGAGACAGATATGGGAAAAACAAGCAATGCAAAGTGCTAGAATTTATAACTTTCAAATTCCAAATGATACATCCAGCCACTGTGGAAAGACATACACTGAAAAATCAGGCACATGCCAGATTTACTGTTTTTGTGCCTTTGGCATCTACTGTAGTTCAAGGGTTCTCATTTTCCCACATAACCTCATATTTCAATGCTGTAGACTGTCCTCTACTCCAAATGGCCAAGAATAAATGCCAAAAAGTCATTAACACCACTAATTATAGCAAACCTCACAACTTTTTTTCCTAAGTGCTTTACCTAGAAACAGTATTCTTAGTATTCTCAGAGTTCTTACCATATTACCAAATGCTGCTTAAAGAAAGTTTGCATGATACCATTTCACATCACCTCTCCTGTTCAACCGCTACTATTGTAATGCTTGTATTCCATAAGCTTTAAACATGACCTACGTAATATGAGCCATGTAGATTTAATTTATCTAAAATTAAATTCCTGCTTCATTACTGACACTGATATTTTAATGATAAATCTATGAGCCATCACTTATTTGCACAATTCTATCTATATGACCAAAATGACTTGGGCACAAATAGGCATATGGTTTAGAGAAAATCTAAGTCATGGAATGGAAAGAAAGGTTGAGGCCAGTCTGTGGTGCAATGGTAAAGCATGCACCCTGTGAGACTCACCTATATGGGAAGGTCCCAGATTCCTGTGTGAAGGAGACTTTCTTAAGTATACTGGCATGCTTGGGCTTGCAATCCAGAGCTGGCTAAATTTGGGGTGGATCATGGTGTGAAGACCCTGCTGGAATACTAGCTCTCTCACTCCCTCTCTCAACAGAAAAAAAAAAAAAAGTACTTTTAAAAAGAAAATCTAAGTCATGGAATGGAAAGAAAGGTTGAGGCCAGTCTGTGGTGCAATGGTAAAGCATGCACCCTGTGAGACTCACCTATATGGGAAGGTCCCAGATTCCTGTGTGAAGGAGACTTTCTTAAGTATACTGGCATGCTTGGGCTTGCAATCCAGAGCTGGCTAAATTTGGGGTGGATCATGGTGTGAAGACCCTGCTGGAATACTAGCTCTCTCACTCCCTCTCTCAACAACAAAAAAAAAAAAAGTACTTTTAAAAAATATTTTTGTTTTGTTTTTGTTTGTTTGTTTTTTCCTTTTTTGGTTTGACATGAGTTTGGGAAAATGTGGGCCTATCTATTGCTGTTAGTAAATGTCAGTAAATGTAGACCAAAATAACAAAACATAACCTAAAGAAGAACACTCCTGAATTGTTATCGCAGTTTGAATACCTGTATCAGGTCCTCCCTGAAGTCACCTTCACCTAGCCTTATATCCAAATAAACCCCAAATTCTTTTTTAGGTACAAGTCCGCACACATGTAAGATGTTGCTTGTAAACAAAACAGATCAGAGACATTCTCATAAAAGGAAGCTTCACACAGGACAAGTACGAGTCATTCAATATTTATTCTTTATTAAATACACTTCTCTCCCCAAAGACAAAACACAGTCTGAGGTAGCCCCTTGTTATAAGCTTTCTCCTCTGGATTCATGTCCTGAATTCTACGTCCATTAATCAAGGTTTGGTACCATTATACACAGTGATTAAAATATTTTACCTGAGATTATAAAGATTGTGCCTTTGGTCACAGAATATCTTACCCTGCCAAAATTGAGGAGGAAACATAGAAAACTAAAAGTCCTTTTGGTGGTGGAAGAGGCAGATGACTTAAGTAGAATTCCTGAGATAAAGGCACAGAGCCAACCAAGCAACTAATTAAATTTTACCTATTATCCTTTCCATAGCACCAAACATTCTGGAAGGGAAATTCATCTTTTTGCATAGAAAAACACATTATCATAAAGCAGTGTACAAAGTGTCGCTGCTTTTGCTAGCTTCCAGGGTCATTGTGATGCCTGGGTTCTGGTGAAATGAAGAGATAGGGAGGAATGGACAGCCTTTCCCCAATAGCATATGGAAAAAAAGAAGGAGGAAGAAAAACAAACAAACAAAAAAACCAGACAGGGACAATGAGGGAATAAATCATTATCATGCCATCTACTCAGTCGAGCCTGAGATGTTTCTCAAGTTGTCTGATAGTCTAAGAGTCACTTTTCCTCCACAGATAGGAACAGGGAAAGACATCCTGGATTGTCAGCTCAAGTCCCAGTCAAATCAAAGCATAAGGCAAGTGGTGGGGTGGCGGGGGGCACTCAAAACATGTCTTCCCATCCCAGTGCACCGAGAGTCTGCTCTGAATGCAATACAACTTCTAGTAGCCCCTCCTGGACTGGAAGAAATTACATTCAGGGAAGGAGCCAGCTTCATGTTGTGCTTCCTCTCTACCCACTCGTCACCCTAAAATGGCACAATGGAATGATTCTATTCCCAGTTGAGGATGTCCTTTCTCAAAAACAAACAATCCAAGGTTTCTCAAATCTCCCCATATTTAATAGTACAAGAAAATATCCAGCCTCAGGACCAGCAGTTAGCGTAATGGCTATGTCGCTGGATTCCCACGTAGTCGACCGCAGTTCGCGTCCCAGACCTGGTGGCTTAAAACTCATGCCAGGCGTGTGTGTGTGTGTGCCCAAGATCCCAAGAGGAGAATGGAGAAGGGATTGTGGTGTGGCCATCCCACCAGGGGGTGATTTCACACTTTCTGTCTCTCTGTCTCTCTCTGTCCATCTGGCGAGTGTACGTACCCTATAGCAAAAACACCTTTTCAAAAAAAAAAAAAAAGAAAGAGAGAAAATATCCAGCCTCAAGTAAGGAGAGTGAGAAAGGAAGCAGATGCCTAGGGATGCTAAGCGCTTAGGGACAATATCCTGAAAAGCACAAGGGCCTCTGAGATGGAAACACAAAACCAAGGCTGAGCATTGTGGGTTGTATGTAGCATTTCCAGAGACACCATTTCATGGATGCCAGCTTCCCAATTCTCTTTCTTAGTTTTTCTTGGGGTAGTTCTGACAGGCTTTTACCAAGTCATTCAAGAAGGTAGGAACTCCATTCTGCAAAGGAAAAGAAACTGTCATTTCTATATCCTCATAGCAAGCACTCCTGAGTTTTGGGAATGTGGCAAAAGGTAAATAAGGGAGGCTTTGAGAATAATAAAAGATAATCTGACCCCTGACTAGATTTCAACAGAACATTATAAATAACAATGAACATCACAAATAATCTTGAAAAGTAAAACCCAGGGCATAGGCAAGGCTGGGCAACAGGAACCACTGTTATAAGGCAATGCCGTGTAGTTTTGCTCTTACTAGTATAAAACAAGGACATTTCTGGGACACCATTTCTTGAAAAGAAAACATAGGAGATGGGATGAGGCCAGATCGATGAAATCTTCCAAAGAAATGAGAGGAAACACTTGTTTTATGGGAACTAGGGAAGGATTTGGTGTCAAGGGTAGGAAATAATCTTCTTCTTTAGTGTAGAGCTGTGTATAAGACTTTCCCAAACATTGTCCTATTCACTTCTAGTCTATGAAGAGGTCATCTCCATTGTCCTTTTTAAAAAAGGAAGAAATTCATGGCTTCCGTAACTAAAATAAGAGTCAGTACAAGAGATAAGAGTCAAAATTGCATCTGTTTGACTGAAACACCCATCAATGTTTCACTCTCTCAAGAAATCTGTTGGGCCCTCTGGTGGGTAGAACTTGTACAAAGCAGACTGAATGGTCCCCTGACACCCAGTTCCTAGGCAGTTTTATACATACACACACACACACACATATCCTACACACATACATGGGGGGTGCCAGCAGATGGCATAAGGTTGTCACTAGACTCCCACATGGACAACCACAGTTCAGGTCTTTGACCCAATGACTTGAAAATCACACAGAGTGCATCTGTATGAGTGCATGCCCAAGATCCCAGGAGGAGAATGGAAAAGAAGAGACTGTGGTATGGCCATCACCCTGAGGAGTGATTTCTCATTTTCTCTCTCACTGTCTGTCTCTCTCTGGTGAATGCATGTGCCCTAAGGCAAAACCTCTAAAAATAAAAATTAAAAAACAGGCAACAATAAAATCATTATCAGATGCTTCCCTCAGACTTGGGTATATCTAGTCTCTAAGCCAGCTCAGTCTGCCTCAGTCTTCCACAAGCCGAAACAGACTGCAAAGGTACTATTGGTCCTGTAGGGAGCAGACTAAGGTCCAGAGGTTCCAATGGGTGATCCCGACACAGTCTTGGGGCACCAGCAAGGAAAGGCTGGCATTCCAAGCTAACAATTTTTTGTCTTTTGTCTAAGCCTCTAACTTGGGTGTTGGCAACCCCTGCCTAACTGTAGTCACTCAACCAAGTTCTTCATCAAAGAGCCTCCTTGCTCTGGAGCCAAGGTGTCTCTTCATCCTGACAGCCCCACAGGCCAAGACAACATTGTCAAACACATTCCCCCTCTTCTGCTCCTGGGATCTCACCTTGGCAATCAGGTTAACGAGCCAGGTTGGAATTTGGCCACCTGGGTTATCGAAGTAATGCATGAAAACTGCAGGGAAAAAGAAAGAACAATTTTGAAGAGGAAAAAATACTGGAAAAATTACAACAACAAAACCCTGTACATTTTACAATTTTCATATCCCAACCCAGCAAGTATGGGAAGAAGCATGTAATTCAGATAGATTCTTTCCACTGACTTGCCATATAACATATTTATTGAGTTATCCAGAAAGTCACGATGACTTTTTGCATAGAAAAACAGAAAAATATGTCATGACTACAATTTTCATATCCCAACCCAGCAAGTATGGGAAGAAGCATGTAATTCAGATAGATTCTTTCCACTGACTTGCCATATAACATATTTATTGAGTTATCCAGAAAGTCACGATGACTTTTTGCATAGAAAAACAGAAAAATATGTCATGACTTTCCCAATGACCTAATATATATATAATCGCTTTTTTAAAAATAAAGTCATAGGCACATTTTTCTGCTATTTTTTAATACCTGGCAATGCTAGACACTTGGATATGGTCTCTTATTTAATTACACTAGCAACCCTAAGGAACTAGTAAAATTAACCCCATTTGATAAATGAAACAGAAACTCTGAAGTTAGGTGACATTTCGAAGGTGACAGATCGAACAAGCATCAGAACTATAGTTCAGATTTTGCCAGCTATGTGAGGCTACACTCGTATCAGTACAACTAATGGCTCCATGTGCCATTCTCTGCCCACAGCTTTTCTCCCTGGGGAGTGGAATGCAAGGCAGACAGGTTCTGAGTCTCTGTGCTTATGCTAAGTGAGAGCTGAGTCCTCTAAGACAAGCCAAGCAGCCTTCTTGCCCACCCGTACACCAGTGTATGTATCCATAAGGCCAGCCTGAAGGTCTTCTGCCATAATCCTCCTACCTCAGTTTCCTGAGTAGCTGGTACCAAAGGTATACACCACCACACTCAGCTTTTTTATGGTGGACCTGAATCAAACCTGGGCCTTCCATATGGCCTCAGCCTGTCAAGTAGTTGCATCAACAAGTATGCACTACCACAGCAGGGCCTGCCTTGCTTTTAATGTTCTGACTTCATATGAATAATGTAATAGCCAATACAGAAAAGCTTGGGTCAGATTGATCCACCTGGTGCTCAAGCCGTGTGTGTGAGGGATGGACTGGTCTATCCCCAGGAGCTGACCCCAGTCTGTTCTGTACCTGTGTTCATCCTCTAGCCTCCAGGGGTAAGCTTTGTGTACTTGACACACTTCTCCATCAACATGGCCTTACATGGGTGGCCTTGGCTGGTGGTAATACTGCGCCCCCTGGGCTTTACCTTTGCTCCCCTTCTGGCCATCGCTCTTAATCGCCAGGCTCTGCTTGTATTGTTTCACCCGGATCACCCCCTGCACCTCAGGAATCTCAGGCACAGAGGTGCTCTGGGACAGGATCACGTAGATCTTCTGATTTCGCTTGTCCAGGTCCCGTCGCTCTCGGACATAGACATACTTCACTAGTCAAGGCATGATGTGAACACCAGCATTTCACATGTGCAGAAGGAAAACCCCAGGAGCTAGTAGCAAAGGAAGGTGATTCTATATCTCCCACTTGCTTCCTTCTGCTGCATCTCCCTTACCTGCCCTGTCTCCCCACCTGCACTGCAAGATTGTACCTCAGCTCACCTAATATTCTTATCGGACAACATACATTACTTACCAGTAAATGATTCCTGGATGCTTTTAATTATGCAGAGAAATAACTCCCTCTTTCTTTAAGAAGGCACTAGGAGATGGCAGGAGATTGGTTACTAATCAGCTACCTGATCTTAGGTAAGTTATTCAACCTTTCCGAGATCCCATTTTTTTCTTATCTGAGAAAAAAAGAGTAACACTGCCCATCAGGTGGCTTGGCAGGGGCATCAAAGAAAGACTAGGGCAGAATAAGCACTCAACAGACAGTGGTGCCATTCCTTTGTCCTGTCTTCACCCTAACTCTAATTACTGACCTCTATGCATAGGAGACATCAAACAACACTATAACTGGTAACCACAGGAAGACATGAATAGCTGAATAGTTAGAGGGCAAATGCCCTCTCTGGGTTAAAATTGGCTCACCAGAAATAACAGAG